AGCACCAGCAGCACCAGCACCCTGCTCCCAGCAGTAGCACCAGCAGCACCAGCACCCTGCTCCCAGCAGTAGCACCAGCACCCATCCTGCTCCCAGCAGCAGCACCAGCACCCATCCTGCTCCCAGCAGCAGCACCAGCAGCCATCCTGCTCCCAGCAGTAGCACCAGCAGCCATCCTGCTCCAAACAGCACCAGCAGCACCAGCAGCCATCCTGCCCTCAGCAGCAGCATCACCAGCACCCATCCAGCCCCAGCAGCAGCACCAGCACACATCCTGCTCCCAGCAGCAGCTCCAAGTCTCAAGGGAGGTGCATGAGCAGAGGGAGGTGCAGGATCCCCCTCCCAGCTCCAGGCCGGTTTGCAGGAGTGTGGAATTCCTTGGACAACATGCTCCTGCCACGAGCCTCCACCTTTCCCTTCAGCTAAATCCTCGAAAGAGAAGGGACAAGGACCCGCAGCTCCCTCCCCGGCCCGGGCACGCCAGGCCCTGCCGGCTGCAGTCACAACTCACTTTCTGCCTGGGTGCCGAGGGCTGCTCCGCCCGCGCCATCGCCGTGCGAGACAATGGTCACCTTGATTTTGGCTCGTTTGGAGGCTTTGGTGCACGGGGTCGGGCTGGGGCTCTGCTGCCTCTTCAGCTGCACTCGCACATCATCTCTGTCAGCCCCCTCCGAGTGCTCTGAGGACACTGGAACTGGGGGACACAGAAGGAGCTTTTTTGAGCCCCCAGGGCGGCTCGGCGTGCCGGGAAGGGAACACGCCTATGCACGCAGCTCCCTCCGTGCCAGCCTGCCCAGCTCCCTGCACAGGAACCCTGCCTGTCCTACAGAGACCCCACAGCTGCCCCAGCAGCACGGGCTGCCCTGGATCTGCAGCGATGCCACAACTCCACAGGGACGTTTTCACCCCAAAATCCTGCCATCAGGCCCCTCCAGCAGCCCTGGTGGCCAGGTGAGGGGCCAGGGTTTGTGCTTGCAGGCACAAAAGATCAGAGCTCAGCCCAGCCAGAGGATCCCCCAGCAGTCCTGCCAGGAGCTGGGCAGGCTCTGAGAGGCACCAAGCGAAGCAGAGGAGGTGCTGCAGCAAAGCCAAGCCCCCAAAAATCCCACACTACAAGGAACTGGGGCAGAAACCCCACAGGCTGAGAATTCTCCTGCACACCAGTGTCTCCTTGATCTGACACATCCCCAAGCACAATCCCCCCAAGGCCAGGGAGATCCCAAAAGCACAGAGGACCCACAGTTGCAGCCCAGGGCCACAGCCTTGAGCTGCCACATCCTGCCCATCCACACATCTGCAACCACTGGGGTACAACCTCCCTGCCTGGAATGCTGAGAATTCCCTCTTTCAAGAGGGCCCTGGGCATCCCAGCCACAGATTCAACAGCTCCGAAGCAAAGATGTCCCTCCCTTCTTACTGATAAAGATCAGTGATATAAAATCAATAGAGAAATGTACATGTACATATTCACATGCTGTGCAGCACCCACACACCTTCAGCTGTGGGGGCAGCACCTGACTGCAGCCGAATCCCCAAATTTCAGGTGACTCCAAGCACTTGGGGCTGCCCTGAGAGCCCAGTGGCCCAGCTGTGTTCCTCCTCTGTGTCCCCTGGGTGTGACCCAGCTATGTCCCCTGGGAGCCCAGTGACCCAGCTGCGTCTCTGTGTGTCCCCTGGGAGCTCAGTGGCCCAGTTGTGTCCCCTGGGAGCCCAGTGGCTCAGCTGTGTCCCTCTGTGTCCCCTGGGTGTGACCCAGCTGTGTCCCTCTGTGTCCCCCCCTGCTCCTGCCTGTGCTGGCGGCGCGTTCCCATCCTATTCCCAAATCAAAGGCTCCGCCCAGACCCTATCTCACACCGGAGGCAGCCAAGGCAGCACTCTAATGGATCCAGAGCTCTTAATTAGCCCTTGATGCCATGAGCAGGCAGGCCAGCCTGGGCCAGGCTCTCCACACTCACTGCAGGGTCCCCTCCAGGTGTGGCCCTGCCGTGGTCGCAAAGGGCGAGGCTCACAGGAGGCTCCAGGGAGCAAGGAACGTTTAAATCAGGCTCGAGAGGAAAAGAAATCCCAAAAGCACCAGCTCAGGGCAGTGCCTGGCTCAGGAGCTGGACCAGAGGTGAGGGCAGAACATTCAGGGTGTTCAGGAGCAGCTCAGCCCTGGAGTCAGCCCGAAGGAGAAGTCACAGCAACAGCTCAAGTGACAAAGCCTTGGATTTGCACTTTCCTCCCTCTGCTGAGCCCAGACCCACACAGGCACTGCCATTCAGGGGGGCAAAACATCCTGGGACAGCCTGGGCCCCCCCCTCCCCTCTATCCTCTCAGAGCATGGCACACTCAATCACCTCTGGGTGCTCAGACTGTCACTTCCGTGTCCCCTGGTGCAGAGAGCATCGCTGTCCCTGACCCATCCCTGCCTCCTTATCCCATCTCTGCCCCCTGTCCCTGACCCATCCCTGCCCCGTCCCTGACCCATCAGAGCCTCACCAAAGCCCTCCTTGACCCATCAGTGTCCTCTGTCCCTGACCCATCAGAGCCTTCCTAAAGCCATCCCTGATCTATCAGCACTTTCCCAAGGTCATCCCTGTCCCTGGCCTCTCTGTTGTCCCTTAATCTCTCCAGCTAAGCAGTGCTGCTCTGTGTCCAGCCCTGGCTGTGTGTCGCTCCTGTCCCACGTGTCCCCAGGTCTGTCACACTGGTGCTCACAGCCCCAGCACAGGAAAGGGTTAAAGCCACATCCCCTGAGCTCTAGTCCATCCAAGCAATCCAGACTCCATCTTTATCCATGGGGAGCAGGGAGGAGCTCAGCAAAGCCTGAGGGCTCTGCTGGCAAAGAGGGGCCCTGGGCTTGAGCTCTGAACAGCAGAGAAGCACAAAGCAGGGCACGAGGGGACACACCAGCCCCAGTCCAGGGCAGGGGAAGAGGAAGATGGTGGAGAAAGGCAGCAGAGGCAGAGAGAAGGAGGGAGACAGGGAGAGAGACAGCAAGGAGTGAGAAGATACTCACCAAAGAGACATGAAGAGGTGCCAGGAGGAAGAGCTTTCCTCACCAGCATGTTTTGTTTCAGAAAAGCAGCAAACTGAGCTGAAATGAATCAGAGAGAATTACAGAATCACAGCCTGGCTCTGCAGGGGACAGGAGGAAAAGTGCTGTGACCCCTAGGTGGGGACCCTGGAGCAGGCAGAGCTCCGACACAGCTGATCCAGCCACAGGAGACACAGCAAGGGGCACATCCCAGCCTTGGCACGGCTCATTGCCAACAGAGAGCCCTTGGCAGCCACCAGCACAGGGCTGAGCTGGGCCCAGCTTGGCTGAGCTGCATCCAGAGCCTGAGAGCAGCAGGGAGGGGTGAAACAGCATCCCCTGAGCAGCTCCAGCTGGGAATCACCACAGCATTCCTGACAAAACAAACCAGCACCGGGAATCACCAAGCATTCCTGACAAAACAAACCAGCACCGGGAATCACCANAGCATTCCTGACAAAACAAACCAGCACCGGGAATCACCAAGCATTCCTGACAAAACAAACCAGCACCGGGAATCACCACAGCATTCCTGACAAAACCAGCACTGGGAATCACTGCAGCATTCCCAACAAAACCAGCACTGGGAATCACTGCAGCATTCCCAACAAAACCAGCACCAGGACACAGCTCCCCCACAGAGCCTCCTCCTGCCTCCGTTACAACAGCACAGGAACACAACCCTTCAGTCCATGGGCTGAGGAATTCCAGCAGATCCAAGCTCCAGCCTCCCGCTGGAGCCAGGATGGATATGCAGGGTCACAGCTGCAGGTGACACCCATAGACAGACGTGCAGGTAACACCCACCAGCCTGTCCAGGTCTGTGGCAGCACGACAAGGAGAGGAGGGAGGATGGAGAACTGGGCATCATCCCCCAGGTGCTGCTGGAGGTTGCCAGGAGGGATCCTGAGAACAAAAGCACCTCCTGAACTCCCCACGTTCACCACCAGCCTACAGGTTTGGACCAGCCTCTGCCAGGACATAAATCCCCACAGCTCCAGCTGCTTCCTCATCCACAGCAGCTTTTCCACAACCTGTTTGCTGCAGGATGGTTCTGTAATTCCCCAAATCCCACAGTTTCCACCTCAATTCAACAGCCTCAACATCTCCTGAGCACCTTCAGTGTCTCCCCAGGCAGCCCTGGAGGAGACACCAGACCAGGGTGTCCCTAAAGGATCAGAGCATGGCTACAGGGGTTTGGTCAGCCAGAGAGAAAATGCTTCCCACTTCCAACAGCAGGAAGGCTCCACAAGCTGCAGGAACACCTAATTCCACCCTAATTCCAGCCCTCCAAGGCTGTGACAGGGGCTGAGCTGCACAGAAAGCTGCCACACAGAGCTTGGGATTCAACACAGGACTCAGAAAATAAAAACCTACACGGGTCCAGACAGAAAAATAAACAAAATTCCGGCCGCTGGAAGGGTGGGGAAGCTGCAGGGAATTACCTTGTGCTTGCTTGTGGGTCAGGACAGCATCTGGCCTGGGCACCTGCCTCCTCTGCAGTTGTGTGGGGCCCACCTGGCTGGGCTTGGGCAGGGCCAGGGCGGCCACCTTGGTCTTGGGGCTGGACGTGGGGCTGCTGGACACACTGGACAGGTCCTGCTGGGACAGAGGGACACTCAGCCCACGTCTGCCTGAGGCAGCCCTGGCCCTGAGCACCAGGCCTGTGGCTGAGGGTTCATTTACCTCACCACAAGAATCCTGGGATTTTTAAGGCTGGAAAAGACCTTCAAGATTACCAAGTGTCATTGTCAAAAGCCCTGGCCCCAGTGCCACATCCAACTGTGCTTTGAACATTCCCAGGGGTGCTGACTCCACCAAGACCTTCCAACCCTCCCCATGAGATCATTTTTCCAAATCTCTCATCTAAACCTCCCCCGAAGCCACATCCCCCTGGGTCTCCTCCCACCTCCCTCTCCCAATACTCCCCGCAGATTTTAGAGATTTTGCAGGCACAGAAACTTCTCTTTACACACCCCCAGCTGGAATTAGGCTGGAAAGAGCCCCCACCTCGGAGCCTGAGGGCGAGGCTGGCACTTTGGCTGCAGGGGAGGCGGGTCTGCTGCTCCTCTCGGGCAGCTCAAAGGACAGGTCTCTCCTGCTGCAGTCACGGGGCTTCTTCTTCCTCTCGGCGTCCAGGTCGCGGGGCTCAGAGCCCGAGTGGCTCTCGGCCCGGGTCAGCACTCCTGTCAGGAAGTCTGCAATCTCATCCTGGCAATTTTGGGATAAAGAGTGGGGCTCAGTGCTGGGCAGGTCTCTGAGCACTGGATCCTCACAGCTTGAAGCAAGGAAATTAAGTACTACCAAGGGGATAAACGGGTAAGGCTCTGTGGGTTTGATGTTTGCCAGGAAATCCCCAAAACCTCACAGAGAAAACATAGATTTCTCTGATCAAATCACTGATTTAGGACATGTGGGGAAAAACCCACAGCAGTTTCTCCCAAAATGCTGCTGAGTGCCCAGGCAGATGTGTTGGGACACTCAGGAAAGTGCTCCCTGGATAAGGTGCACCCCCAGGGATCTCACACCTTCCTTCCACACATCCCCCTCAAGAAAAGATTCCCTCCAACCCAACCCACCCCATCCCATATAACCTGAGACATCCCAGCACTGATTCATTCCTTCTTCAGCTGCAAAGGGAACATCCCTGTGGTTACCTGGATGCACCTGTCCACCATGCTCTGGGTCAGGCCTTCTGACTTCTTTTTGGCTTTGCTTATCCTAAGGGGGGAAGAAAAGAACCAAACCACACTTTTCCCATCATTCTTCACCTGATGAGGAAAAAGATCTTTTTCAGGACTCCACAAAGCATTTTGCAAAGCCAACCTGACATTTCAGAGCTCTGCCTTCACACCCAGTGCCAGTTTTAGGTTTCTTTCTTTTCTCTCCTTTACTGATTTTCACTACTAGAAACTTCTGACTCCTGTGATGTTCCAAAATCTCCTCTGTGCTGCTGAGTGCACCCCTAAATCAGACCCATTCCCATACAGGTTTTTCCTGCAGTTATTCCCAACACAGACAAATCTAGAGTATTTTCATGCAATTCCCACCTTGTTCCAGCACCAAATCTGGGGCTGTTCAGAATTCCCAGGAAGAGAGAAGGCACCTGGCAGAGCCTCACCTGAGGTTGTCATCTGCTCCTCCCACCACCACCATGCTGTTATCTGCCCGGATCTTCTCCCGGAAATCCTCCATGGCTTCCACGTTGCACTGCAGCGAGTTCTGCCCGATGACAAAGAGCACCGGGGTCTTCATCTCCAGGAGAGGGTCATCCACGTCCTGTGGGAGCAAGGGGAGGGCTGGGATGGAGCTGGAATCCCAGGTTGAGGCTGAGGAGGTTCCCAGGGGTGAGTCCCAATGGGAGTTATTGAGGCCAGAGGGAAACTCTGCATGAGCTGCACTGTGCTCCAGAAAATGGAGCAGAAAATGCTTTTCCAATGGAATTCCAGTGCCCTTGGAATTAGCACTTCCTAGCATGACTGTGTCCATCATCATTCTCTATCCAGTCACACAGGGCTCAAAGGGGAGAGATCAGGGCTCCGTGTAAAGACACAGAAAATAACAAGGGACACAGGACATGGATAACAGAGCCAGGCCAGGGATAATGAGGGACACGAATAATGGAGCCAGGCCACGGACAACCAGGGACACAGGCTCCCAGGAAGGAGCCCCAAAGCCACACCACAGCAGAGACAAGCCAAGAGCACTCCTCACACCTGCTACAGCATCAGGAATCCCACCAGGGCTGCTACAGCCCCTCCTCTGAGAGCAACAACCGCACACATTCCTCAAAAAATCAGCTAATTATTGCTGGACTTCCAAGAATAATTCCACAGAACAACCCAGGGAGGTTTAAAGACAAGCAGAGTTCTTTAAGCAGCTCCATCTGGTCCTTACCCCTCTGGGGCCATCCACAGTGAGCAGAGGGAAGCCAAGGCACACGACAGCAGTGACATATTCCATCACAGAAACCTGGGCAGGGAGAGAGCAGTCAGCATTCCCAGAGCCCAGCACTGACATTCCAAAATGGAAACCTGGGCAGGGAGAGAGCAGCCTGCCTTCCCAGACCTCAGCACATCCCAGGACTGAAGGCTGTCTTGCCAGGCTCCTGCCAAGGCACAGAAACACCTCAGTATCAACACTTTGGAGATTAACACAGTGATTAAAAAACATTAAATGGCTCATATTGCAAAGGCCCACAACCACAGAGGTCAAAGCCAGGCCCTGGACTGAGCACAGGGACAAGGAGAATCCCATCAGTCACTGAAATCCAGCTCTGAGCTGAGGCTGCCAAGGGGACTCTAGGACAATCACAGAACCCTGGAATGGTTTGGGAAGGACCTTGGAGTCCACCCCATCCCATCTCTGCCATGGCAGGAACACCTTCCACTGTCCCAGGCTGCTCCAACTCCCATCCAGCCTGGCCTTGGGCACTGCCAGGGATGGAGCAGCCACAGCTGCTCTGGGAATTCCCAATATCCCATCCATCCCTGCTCTCTGGTAGTGGAAGCCATTCCCTGTGTCCTGTCCCTCCATCCCTTGTCCCCAGTCCCTCTCCAGCTCTCCTGGAGCTCCTTTAGGCCCTGGAAGGAGCTCTGACCTCTCCCTGGATCCTTCTCCTCTCCAGGTTAACATTCCCAACTCTCCCAGCCCAGCTCCAGCCCTGGAGCAGCTCTGTGACACAGGCTATGGACAATGCACCAAGGCCATGGACAACCAGGGACAAAAGCCTCCAGGAAGGAGCTCCAAAGCCACACCACAGTAGAGACAAGCCAAGAGCACTCCTCACACCTGCTACAGCATCAGGAATCCCACCAGGGCTGCTACAGCCCCTCCTCTGAGAGCAACAGCTCCCCGAAACAGCAAACCTCCAAACAACAACCTGTCCCCAGGCCTCCTCTGGACCTGCTCTAACAGATCCACACGCTTTCTGTGCCCTCCTGAGGACACAGAGGACTGGGGCACTCACATGACAGGCCACCAAGGCACCCGTGTTCCACCCAATCAGGATGATCTGCTTGTGAGAGAAGTGGTTGTGGATCTGTGGGACACAAAACAAAGCCACGGCTGCAGAGCTGGCACAGACACTGGGACGATGCCCAGGGTGGCACAGCACCCCTGGCACGGGACAGGGAGCACAAGGGGACCCTGTGCTGTCCCTCACCTCGGCCACCTTGCCCCTGACGGCGCCGATCATGTGCTCCAGGCATTGCAGCACTCCCACCCCACTGCCGTTGTTCAGCAGGGATGTGGCAATGGGGATCACCTGTGTGGGAAAGGGACAATGTCAGGGACAGCCAGCGGGGCTGGGGACAGCACCCAGTGACAGCCAATGCAGTGCTGAGGACACCAGGAATAACCAGAGCCAGCCCCACAGAACAGTCCCACAGAGGAGCCAGCCGCCCAGAGCCAGCCAGCCCACAGAGCCAGCCCCACAGACCTTTCCTAAGCAGGAGAGCTGGGACTGCCAGAAGCGGTGCCGTCGGGACGTGGGGAACATGGAGTTGGCGGGGCCGGAGGAAGCGATGAGGATCAGGGGAGATCCGGGCAGTTTGCTCTGCAAAGTTCAACAGGAGCCATGTCAGGGACAGGAGTTTTCCCAGGAAAGGCCTCCCTGCCCCACAAGGAAGAGGGAAGGATCTTGCACAGCTCCTTAATTGTTTCTTTTCCCAAACCAAAGCGCCCTCGGGATACCCAGGAGAATTCCTCCAACAGAAGGGGCTCTCCTTTCCGAGGGACACTGTGATCCCTGCTCCCTGTGACAGGGACAGCACCCAGGGAACGGCTGGAGCTGGCCCAGGGCAGGCTCAGGCTGGATTTTAGGAAAGGTTCTGCCCTCAGAGGGTGCTGGGCACTGTCCAGAGAATGGGCACGGCCCCGAGGCTGCCAGAGCTCCAGGAATGATTGGATTTTGGGGTGTCTGTGCAGGGATGGACAGGGCGGGAATTTGGGGTGTCTGTACAGGGGCAGGGGTTGGATTGATGATCCTGGTGGGTCCCTTCCATTCATGGAGCAGGTCTAAAGCAGGGGCACAGGAGCCCCGGGAGAGGACAGAGGCAGAGCATGGGAAGACTAAAGCTGACAGGGGATCTCACAACCCCCAGGGACACTCACTGGTTTATTATGGGACAGGACACCCACTGCTGGGTCCCAGGGTCTCTTAAGCAGCAGGGACAGTGCCTCAGCCCCTGCTGCTCCTGTCTTGGCCGTGGAGGACAGCAGCATTCTGTCGATCAGTGCAGGGATCTGCAAGCAGAGGGGACTGAGAAAACACAGCCAAACCATGGGATAACAATTCCAGTCTCTCCCTTCTGCCAGCTGCACGAAGGGAGAATGCCAAGTGTGACAGCCCAGCCTCCCACTGCTTTATCACCTTTCCTTTCAGGGTCTGCAGGGCGTCCAGGTAGGCAGCCAGCACGGGCAGGCTCAGGGTCTCCACCAGCGTCGTGTGAAGCCACTGGATGAGTTTGGTGTCCCAGTTCACACTGGCCAGAGCCTGGCGCACCCTGCGGGCACATTTATCCACCGCGATCCTCCTCAGCACGGGCTCGTTGCAAGCCTGGCAACCAGGAATTCCCAGAGGAACAGTTCAGGGGAAGATGGGGCACAGCAGTGCCCATCCCCATCCTTAGGGAAATGTGAGCGTGGGCTGCCCAAACATCTGGAGTGAGGACAACATCTGTCTGAGGAAGAGGAGGCTGAGCAGTGCAATCCAAAACTTCCAAGGGACAACTCTGATCCCTGCTCTGTGTGACAGGGACAGCACCCAGGGAACGGCTGGAGCTGGCCCAGGGCAGGCTCAGGCTGGATTTTGGGAAAGGTTCTGCCCCCAGAAGGTGCTGGGCACTGCCCAGGGAATGGGCACGGCCCCGAGGCTGCCAGAGTTCCAGGAACGTTTGGATTTTGAGGTGTCTGTGCAGGGCCAGGGGTGGGAATTTGGGATGTCTGTGCAGGGCTGCCAGGGATGGACAGGGTGGGAATTTGGGGTGTCTGTGCAGGGCCAGAGGTTGCACTGATGATCCACGTGAGCCCTTCCAGCCCAGGATATTCTATGATCCCATAAAAGTCACGGCTCAGAGAAGCCCAGAGCTGCCCATAGCTTCCATGGTGCCTGCCCAGGTTTTGTGGGAAGGAGGGACCCCAGCCCCTCTCTCACCCCCTCGTTGGCCAGGCGGGCCAGCCTGTCGGACTGCAGTGCTTTGTGGATCTTGTTGAAGAGCTTGTTCTGGGCCATGGTCCAGCCCGTCCTGCGGGGACAGACACACAGGGGTCACCACAAAACACCAAACCACTCCTGGCTCCTCTTCTCTGGAACTGCCACCCCACCTGCTGATGCGCTCCTGTGCTCCTCCCACCCCGTATTCCTTTTGTGTGGAATTCCCAGTCTGGATTTCCCAGCTCAGATTCCCATTCCCTGGCACTACCAGCCCACATTCCCATTCCCACACGTCCCGTTCCCTATTCCCTGCCATTCCCACCTGTTGACATGCTCCTTCTAGCCCACATTCCCATTCCCTGCCATTCCCAGCCTAGATTCCGGTTCCTATTCTCTGGCACTTCCAGCTCACATTCCCATTCCCACCTGTCCCATTCCCTGTTCCCTGCCATTCCCGCCTGTTGACATGCTCCTCCCAGCCCACATTCCTATTCCCACCTGTCCCATTCCCCAGCACTCCCAAGCCACATTCCCATTCCTACTCTGCCATTCTCACCAATCCTGTTCCTGATTCCCTGCCATCCCCACCTGTTAATGAGCTCCTCCCAGCCCCCATTCCTATCCCCACCTGTTGATGAGCTCCTCCCAGCCCCCATTCCCATCCCCACCTGCTAATGTGCTCCTCCCAGCCCCCATTCCCATCCCCACCTGTTGATGTGCTCCTCCCAGTCGTCGGGCGGCGGGGGCGCGTCGGCGTCGGTGCGGGCGAACATCACATGCCGCTCGCACTCGTTCATCACGCTCCGAGCCTTCTGGTTGTCATACAGCGGCACCGGCGTGGGCGTCACCGTCTCCACGTCTATGGGGACATCGGCCTCCCTGCCACCGACACGGCTGTCACAGCAGGGACAGGACACCCCGGCACGGCAGCTTTGGGGCATCCCGAGGGTTTGGATAACGCTCCCAGGGATCTCGGTACTCCTGGGCCATCAACTGGCAGTGCCTGGACCACCAAACTGAGCACCTTGGATACCCAAACTGAGACACCCTGGACCACCAAACTGAGTACCTTGGACACCCAAACCGAGACCCCTGGACAATCAAACCTAGAGCTCCAAAACTAAGACCCCTAGAGGTCCAAATTGAGACTTTGGAGTCCACAAACAACAGCCCCTGGACACACCTGGGGCCCCCGGACACCCCTGAACCCCCTCAAACCATGGCCCCTGGAGCCCCTTGGACATCCCAAAACAAGACTCCTTACTGCCCCTTTCACCCATCAGGACCCCCCTCCCACCCCAGGCCATCAGGGCTCCCAATTTCCCCCTCACAACTCCCCCACTGCCACCTCCCTGCCCCACAGGACCCCCCAACTCCTCCTTCACAGCCCCTCCCCACTCTCAGTATCCCCCCAATCCTCACACAGACCTCTCAGCTCCTGAGGACCGTCAAAGGCCCCCCCCCACTTCTGCCTCACAACCTCCCTCTGCCGCCCCTCAGGACCCCCATTCCTCCCTCACAGCCTCACACAGCTCCTGAGCCTCACTGCTCCCCCTTTCCCCTCACAGCTTCTCAGCCCTGCAGGACCACCCAGTTTCCCCCTCACAACCCTCTCAGCCTCACAAGACCCCCTCCTTTCCCCCCCTCACAACCCCAGGTCCCCCCAGTTTCGCCCTCAGGCCCTCAGTACCCCCTCCTTTCCCCTCAGCCCCATAGGAACCCCCTCCAATTTCCCCCCAGAGCCTCCTCAGCCCCACAAGACCCCCCCATTTCCCTTCACAGCCCCACAGGATGCCCCCAGTTTCCCCCTCAACCACCAGAACCGCCCAGTTTCCCTCTCAGCCTCACAAAACCCCGTCCTCTCCCCTCATAACCCCACAGGACGCGCTCCTTTCCCCTCACAGCTCCCTCAGTCCCCCAGAATCCCCACAATTTCCCCTTCAGCCTCACAGGACCCGCTCCTTTCCTCCCCTCACACCCCCACAGCCGCACAGGACCCCCGCAATTTTCCCCTCAGCCTCACAGGACCAGCTCCGTTCCCTTCACAACACCAAAGGACGCGCTCTTTTCCCCTCACACCCCCATAGCTGCACAGGACCCCCCCCAGTTTTCCCCTCAGCCCCCAGAACACCCCCAATTTCCCTCTCAGCCCCACAAGACCCGCTCCTTTCCCCTCACACCTCCACAGCCGCACAGGACCCCCCCAGTTTCCCCTCCCTGCCGCTCAGGCCCGCTCCGAGCCCGCAGCTCTCACGGGGCGCTGCCGAGGTGTCTCCGCGGGGTGAGGAAGAGCAGCCGGGCGGGCCGGGCGGCGCTGGCGTCGGGGTGTGCGCTCCAGGGCTTGGCGTAGCTGTGGTCGAGGCACACCAGGTCCAGCTCCCGCTCGTGTGCCGACAGCTGCAGCAGCAGCGACGTGCCCATCCTGCGGGCCGACCACTGCAGCTCGCGCTCCCTGTCGCGATCGCGGTCGCCGGCGCGCTGCGACATGGCGGGAGCCCCGCCCCCTTCCCCCTGCCCTCGCACCGCCTCCCCCCAGCGCGCGTGCGCGGGGCGCGCTCCCGCCTCCCCCAAGCGCGCGTGCGCGGGGCGCGCTCCCGCCTCTGCCGCCGCCCCTCAGCGCGCGCGCGCGGGGCGCGCTCCCAAGGAACCCGCGGGGATCGGGAAATGTGCCTGAGGACATCCCAGGAATGTCCACACGAGAAGGGACCCGCAGGGATCAGGAAATGTCCCTGGGATGTTCCCAGGAATGTTCCCATGGGAAGGGACCCGCGGGGGGCAGGGATGTCCCCAGGAATGGCCCCGTGTGAAGAGACCCGCGGGAATCGGGGAATGTCCCTAGGAATGTCCCCGTGGGAAGAGACCCATGGGGATCGGGGAATGTCCCCTGGGATGTCCCCGGGAATGTCCCCATGAGTGTCCCCATGGGACACTCCAGACTCATCCAGCCCCGCACAGGACATTGCGCGGACCCGTGGGGTCACGCAGTGTCCCGCGTGGGGACACGGGGAAGCAGTTACCGGGTGACAGAGCCGCCCGCGCCACAGTCCGTGCTCCGGCCCCGCCGTTGGCACCGCGGGACACGGGAGCCCAACCGCCCTGCTGCTCGCCAGGGGATGGTGGCACCTGGGGCTGGCACAGCGCTGGCAGCCCCTCAGTGACAAGCCTGCAGCCGGTGCCGCCACCTCGGGAGTGGCACACTGGTGGCAGCCCCGTGGTGACAGCACTGAAGCCATCGCTGGCGACAGAGGGGCTGGCACGTTGGTGGCAGCCCGTTGATGGCAGCACCTCGGGAGTGGCACATTAGTGGCACTCCCTGGTGACAAACCTGCAGCCATTGCTTCGGTGACAGCACCTCGGCGGTGCCACATTGGTGGCAACCCCTGGTGATAAACCTGCTGCCATCACCAGTGGCAGCACCTCGGGGGTGGCCCATTGGTGGCAGCCTCCTGGTGACAGCTCAGTCCCCGGGGCCAGTGCTCCGTGGCCATGCTGCGGTGCCACGTGGTCGCCGTCCACATTCCCGGGGCCACCGGCTTCGGTCCCGGTGTCCTGCTCTCCGTCTGCTTCCGAGGTACCGGGGGGCTGGGGACACCGGGTGGCACTGGCCACTGCCACGCTCACTGCCCGTGCATGGGGCCAGTGCCAGGTTTCCCTTGGCACCCCAGCGTCCCCAGCCTGAGGTGCCACCACCCCTCTTGCCCCACACAGGCGTCCCCAGGAGAACCCAGGTGGTGCCCGAGGAACGCAGCCTCACCTGGAATGAGGTGAGATAGCCCCGGGGTGACCCGTGGTGGCACAGGGACATCGGGTCATCCCCTTGACCCGTGTCACCCCCGTCAGGAGCTGGTGTGGCCGCTGGACACGTGTCCCCTGAGTGCCACAGACACGCTGAGCCTGCGCCTGCGGCGCTGGGACTGCCCGCTGCCCCAGGGGTGAGTGACAGCCCTGGGTGGACACTCTGGGGCCACCCCCCTCTCCACGGCCACCCTCACCGTGTCTTCCGCTCCCACAGGGACCTGGGTGCCACCACCGTGTCGCTGAACGAGTTGGTGGCCACCCCTAGCCTGCCTATGGCCCTCAGGGACATCCCGCTGCTGGACTACCAGGAACAACCCACGGGGGTGAGCCCCCACCTCAGACCACCCCAGGGTGCCAGCGGGCACTGTCCCCGTGTCACACTGTCCCCATGTCACTGTCCCTTCGCAGTGCACCGTCACCTTTCGCTGCTACTACGACCCCCACGGCACGGCCGAGGATGTCCCCGTCACCGCGCACGGACAGGTGACACTAGAGCCACCGGCGATGGCCCCTGCAGACAGGAAAGAGGATTTCCAGGTATGACACCCGCCGCAGGCACGGTGGCACCCGGGGGTGACGTCCCCTCGCGGCCACCACGTCAGTGCCACCCCGCAGGTCCGGGTGAGGATCATCAAGGGCCGCCAGCTGCGGGGCAATGACATCAAACCCGTGGTGAAGGTCCAGATCGGGAAGCAGAACTTCCGCACGCGCAGCCGGAGCGGGAACAACCCCTACTTCAATGAGGTGACACCGCGCAGGGGACGCGGGGACAGCCACTGTCCCGCAGCCTGCCCTCACTGTCTCTTTTTCTGGTTTTCAGGTGTTTTGTCATAATTTCCGCCAGACGCCCGAGCAGCTGGTGGCACAGCCCATCCACATCCAGGTGGGACGGATCGGTAGCACCAGGGGGACAGGGACACAGCGACAGGGAGAAGTGCAGGCACAGGGACACAGACACAAGGACAGGAACACAAGGATGAGGACACAGGGACACGGACAGGGACACAGGGACATGGACAGGGACACAGACACAGAGACATGGGAACACAGACGCAGGGACAGACAGGGTCACAGATACAGGGACAAGGACAGGGACACAGGGACACAAACACAAGGACCCATAGACAGGGGCACAGACACAGGGACAGGGACACAGGGACAGTCATGTCCCCTTCCTCGTCACAGGTGCTCCGTTCACCAAACATCTGCACCAAACCCGTCATTGGTGTCTTCGAGGTGAGGAGTGGGGGATTGGGGATTGGGATTTGGGATCGGGAATGGGGCATTGGAATTGGGGTTTGGGAATGTGGATCAGGAATGTGGGATCAGGAAGGGGACATTGGGAATGGGGATTGGGAACGTGGGATGGGAATGGGGCATTGGAATTGGGGATTGGGAATGGAGGGTCTGGAATGGGGTGTCAGGAATGGCGGGGTCTGGAGTGGGATTTTGGGAATGGGGTGTCAGAGCACTCTCACCCCCGTTGCCATTCCCACAGCTTGACATCGGCACCATCTACTCTGCCCCAGGTAACGAGAGGGTTGGGGTGGCACTGGGGGACACTGGGTGACACATTTTGGGGTGACACATTTTGGGGGCTGTTTTAGGCAGGC